GATGTGAGTATTGCAAATGCCATTATTTTTACTCAGGTAGAGTATGGATCCAGGTCTGCAAGAAGGAAAGTGATGGCAGTGTGGTATAGAATGTAGGTTATAGTGTGTACTAATGCTCTGCTCATCCCATAAAGCACTGAAGCATTGGTTTGTGTGTGTTGTGATGTCCTATTGTAATTGTTGAATGGTATGACTTGTCTTCATGTTCCTTTACTACATACCTGTGCTGCCCAGCAAGATGCTGAAGCATAGGAGTAAGAAGAGGTTCATTGCAGTATGCCTGTAGCCACCCCTCTATTTTCGGCTGTTCCTTCCAGTCCCCGATTATACCCTTTTCTATGGCAGTACTGCTGCTGCCCGGGGTTTTGGTAAAACTGGTCACGCCGACCTTAAATGTTATATATAGTTTTTTTGGCACCTCCCTCCCCAGAATTTGTTACGTTAACCTAACAGGATGTGCTCCTTATCAGCCTTTATCCTTAAGAAAAATTGCCAAATGCAATGGTAAATGCATTAACTGATTATCTCAATTTCTTCACCAGCACCAGGATGCAGTAATGGCTCTAATGTGTATGTTCTAGGCCTCATATTTACTCACAGTATAAAAGCATTTTTTCAACAAATACTTTGAAAGCTTTGAGACTATTGTTAGATTGTTCAGAATATTTCACCTTGCAATTCTAGAGTAAGTTTTTATGAAAACTGAAGAAAAATAAAACTTTTGTCTATAGCAACCAAACAGGGATTACGTTCCTACATTCCCTAACCTTCCATGGGAGAATGTAAGAAAAAGTCTGACCAGTTGTTTTGGGCAGTAGTTTTACCTTTTCATTGTGCTAGGCTTCATAAATAAGCCCTATGTGTTCACCAATATAATTATACATATGGGAGATCACTAAACTTATTCCGGCAACAACTTGTTGTACAAAGTGACCATGCATGGGCAGATAAAAAGCAGTAAGTGTATATCGTTATATGAGAAGGCATTGGGAGGGATCAGCAGAGGCATATTGGCATTCACCAGTTCTGGTATAGACCAGAAAGTATTGCTATATGCTGGCCTAGAAATGTACATTGACACTGCTTTATAGGATTTTGTTTTAGCTCAGTAATGGCATTATTGGAGTTATACAATCAACAGTTGTACTGAGATAATATACCTTGGCATTATTGTCATTAAATGGTCACCCTCTTCAGTTAGGTTCATAGTTTGTCTTGTATGGAAAATTTCCTGTGGCATAGTAATTGGAAAATTGTACTTGTACGATCTTTGGTTTATTGTTTGAAGTTGCCAATTATTGTCTTCAGTGTATAGTTTTTATCAAATGTCACTCCATCAACACGGAAAGTGGTCTTAATGTTTTGACTAATCACCAATGGCAAAACCACATAACTAAATGACGGTCCATATGGTTGGCTCTCTAAACCCAGTGTAGAGCCTGCGATATACAATTCCACAATGACATTGTTCATAAGGAACCTACGATGTGTGATGCAGGTTATTTTTCTCATACAATTAAAAGTGATAACATTTACTTTTAAAAGTTCAACAGTTAAAATTCAAAGTATACTGGCCAGGGGCGTCCCGAGGCCGGGTGACACCCCACCGTTACATCATCACGCACGTGCGTGACGTCACCACACGCGTGCGCCATGATGCCATCGCACATATGCGGCCATCTTTGTTATGGACGCCGGCAGAGAGAGGAGGCAACGTTCACAGGGTGGGGTGAGGTATGCCGCTGGGTCCCCTCCTCTCTCCTGACACTGTCGGGCTCTCGGTCTATGACCAAGTGCCCGACTTTTTAGAGGGGGTGACACCAAAATGACTGTCAGTGATTTAGGTGTCGCCCCTCCAATGGTGTCACCCGGGTGTGGGCGGCACCTCCCCCCCCCCTTGTGACGCCACTGATACTAGCTGTCCTGTGTAGAAGCCTGTGATATAACATTTTATAATGGTTTTGCTCATGGAGAACATAGCTTGTACACTGCAGGGTTTTTTTCTTTTAAAATAACAGCGAACCTGTTTAATCTGTAAGCTTCAATTAAAAGTATACTAACTATTTACATACTAAGATACTAACAGAAATTAGTCTTGGTACATGACAGTGTTCTTTAAACCAATACAAAAAGTCCAATGGAATGCTAGACATGTGCATCAATACACCACTAATCGCATCAATACACCACTAATCGTTCATTCAACTGACCATTCAGTCTAAAACAACTGACTATTGTCTAAAACAATCATTCAATGTTGGATGTTTAAAGTAGTATTAAACTCCCCATTTTTTTTTTAAATAATTCAGATTAAAAAAAAAATACATTGCCCAGCAAAGTATTTCTTCAAACTTTTGCCTAAGCACTTAGTCATCATGTTTCCAAACAGCTGCCTCCAACTCTCTCAGATCAGCTTCCCTGAACTTCCTGTTCAGTACAGGATCACAAGGGACAGAGCAATCTCCAGCAGCTCTCCATCTACTAGCTTGGATAAAGGAAGAGGTAGGAGCAGGGGAGAGCAGGGAGCATGGAAGTGTCTTACCTTGCTGTGTCTGTGTGTTTTGTGGAGCCACACAGCTTCCAAGCACACACAAGGATGGCTCTATAGGGCCCTGCAAAAGAAAGGAGCCACCCTAAAACAGGATACCAGGGCCAGTTCTCAGGGGACCAGCTGCTTCTGAAGGCAACTAAAACTTTTAAGTGTCAAGAAGCAGCATCCATTGTAAGTGATTTCATCAGCATTTAAAATAGTTTTCAAACATTTTGACTTCAATATCACTTTAAGGCTCCATTCACACTGAGTGACACTTACCTCGAGCGGATGTCTGCGCGATCCTTATAGCGTGACTTTTCGGGCGCGACCTTCACTATTGGGCTGCATGCAAAAAGAGCAAAATCGCGCGACATCCACGCAAAAAAAGGGTCCTGCACAAGCGACGAGCTACAGGCGATATTGCGCGGTAGATCTAAAAGCGCCATTGAAAAGCATAGGACGAGCGAGATCTCGCGATATCGCGCAGCAATATGCGCGATTTACAAGCAGCAATCCGCTCAATGTGAACGGGGCCTTAGTGTGCTGCTTGTTTCAGTGTGATCTTATTCAAAATAAAACGTTTTTTGGAAAAAAATAAACAAAACGAAAATGTTAATTTTAGAATTGTTTGGTAGCAACATACACCATATGACTAACTTGAAAATAATTAGCATTTGTCCTACTATCCAGTTTCTTGTATCTTCGAATCGATCCCATGTAATCAGTGAAATGCAATCAAATTGGAAGGGAAAACCAAATGAGAGCTAGATTTAATTTTAATATTGCGATAGAATGCATAATTAAAAGTGCCCTACTTAGTTTCATAAAGGCCCTGAAGGGGTGGTGGCAAAAACGGCTGACATCCCTGAGAGATGCAAGAATCCCCCTATGGGTATTTCCCCCCTCTGATAAACATGTAAAACGGAAAAATTAGTTTTGAGTGTGTAGTTGCAAACAATCAGATTATTATGTGTATGGCCAGTATGGTTCATACAGCATCAATTGTTTTTATTTATTACAGGTATTTATATAGCACCAACAATTTACACAGCGCTTTACATAGTGCACATTCACATCAATCCCTGCCCTCAAGGAGCCAACAATCTAAGGTCTCCATCTCACATGCATACACACAGGGACAATTTAGATCGGAGCCAATTAACCTTCCAGCATGTCTTTGGAGTGTGGGAGGAAAGGGGAGTACACCGGGGGAAACCCACGCTATCACAGGGATGCAAACCAACAACAACATTTTTTAATGCTATATTTGAATGTAAATAATGTGACACTGAATGGTAATAATTAAAATTACAATACCTTTTTAACCTGCGTCCTGCAGCTCCTTCAAGACCAACTAATGTTATCTTTCATTGGCCATCATCAAAAATGAATTCAAGATGTTAAAATAATATCCAGGATAACATTACTTCTTACAATTTACATACAGTATTTACTGACCCATGTATATACTGTATGAGTATACATGGAAATTGTTACCAAACTGTATACTGAAACTGAAAAATAAAACAAGCCTTCTGTCGACTGAAGTAAAGGAAAGTTCTTAAAAACATCATCTAAAGCACATTCTTTACGGTCTAAACCTGAAACAGATTTTTAAGCAGTATTTATGTGAGCTAGTACAACTGTTAATTGTAATGCACAGCTATGTTTATTTGGAGTTGTCCAAGCTTTGTAATTCTGGTAATTGCTTTTCAGTGTTACCTTGGCCTAGACTCAGAGAGATCATTACTCTTTTAAATGGTTATTGCAAACTAATGGAGCCTGAAAGAACCGTGTGATATGTTTGCGCTTATATTGTGTTCAATAAACAAAAACTTTTAAAGTCCTCTTTAGATTGAAATTTTGACAGTTTTCTATTGACCTATTGTTTTGTTTTTCCTCCTTCTGACACATATTTGCATTATTTGTCCTGCTTTATAGTTAAGAATGCATTTTTTTTCTAGAACCATTCTTAAATAAATATTATGTTACAATATTTTTATTTTATTTTTCTCGGGTATATAGAGTATTAATTATTTCATATGGATATTTTATATTTCCCACTTGCAGTTAGCAGGATTTTCACTGAAACCTGTTCTGCCAGATTTCTGCTCGACATTTGCAGTTTTGATCTATTCACAATACACACAGATAAATGGGTCAGGTGCGGGCCACCCCCCAGCTCCCTCTGCTAGTTCGTATGAAACCAACGAGACTGATGCAATAAAAAAATGAGCAGGTTTGCTGGTCTTTGTTATTAGAAAGTCCAGATTTAACAGCCAACACCGTGTCATGTGTAACAGCAATAAAATAAAATGAGATAAAATCAGTTTATAAACTTGTGAATATTAAAAAAATAAGGCTTTCCAAAAACTACTATAGTTTCACTTTTAACAAATGAAATTAATGCATCTCTAATGATGCTTGTCTCATGTGTGGATGCTGCTGCGTTAGGTAAAACAGTTACTTTCATTCATCCCGGACACTGCTTCAAGCACCGAATTTCCGGCGATAAAGCCAACAGTCATGGCTCCAGGACAGATAGTGGGTACACATTGTTGCTCTCCACCTCATCCATACACAAAACATCTTGAATTCTTTTTTACAGAATAGTAAATGGACGAGCAGAAGGGTGAACAATCGTCACAAGCTCTTGTCATCCATTCACAAAACGCCTTGTATTCCATGAAAAGATTACAAAATGTTTTTGTGAAAAGACCAGGGGGAGAGCAGGCAAGCCACTACCATCATCTATGACTGTAAATTGCAGTGTTGGAAGTTCACTGCATACAGTAGTCTCCAGGATGAATAAAAACAATAGTTTTACCCAATGCAGCACCATCCACACATGAGACACCCATCATATATTTTTACATGGCAAGTGTCAAATAATTGCATCAGGTGAGGATTATCCCATATCCACGGATGTCTTAAAGAAACCGTATGCTTTGCATACGCAAGGCAAAGCAACACGTCCACTTTAATGCCACCGTCTGCAGCAGCATATACTGACCTTCCATTCACTCATCTATCGGTAACAGGAAAAGGAAGTTCTGTATAAAGGTTGAGTAGTTTTAGTTGGAGTTTATACAGAACTGAGCACTCCACGCTGCCATGTAAACGTGTTGGATCAATTACCAAGCACCAATTGTGTCACATGAGAGGAATGGATGTCATATACTCCTCCATACCCATACTGAATTGGGTATACCTTTCTCTCCTAGTTGCCGAAAGGCTGGGGGGAAGATATGGTGAGTATATGCTGCTGGGAAGAGGGGCATTAAAGCATGCAAACAAATCTGTTCCTTGGCCTTTTAAGGTATAATACTTT